TAGCAAGGGGTGAAACTTTAAGCCTTGAAATGTGTCCAAAGACTGAAAAAGAAAAGGAAGACATGTATCAAGTTCCTTATTCTAGTGTTGTCGGGAGATTGATGTATGCTATGATGTGTACTCGCCCAGACATTTGTTATGTCGTAAGTTTAGTTACCAGGTATCAATCCAATCCTGGAAGAGATCATTGGAAAGCAGTAAAGAGAATATTTTGATACCTGAAGGGAACTACAGATAATACATTGTGTTAAAGTGGATCTAATTTATTCATAAAAGTTTATACAGATGCTGATTGGGCTGGTGACCGGGATGATAGAAAATCAACATCCGGTTATGCTTTCTTACTAAATGGTGGTGCTATTTCATGGAAAAGTAAGAAGCAAACTTGCACAGCTCTTTCAACCATGGAATCTGATTTTGTGGCTTGTGCGTCTGCAGTACAAGAAGTTGTTTGGTTAAAGAGATTCTTTGATCATTTGAGTATTGCAAAGAATTCTAAGGGTCCCATGATTCTATATTGTGATAATCAAGCGGCTATCGCATACACAAATGATCCTAAGTATCACAGCAAGACCAAACACATCGACATCAAGTATAACTTTGTGAGAGACGTAGTGCCAAGTGGAGAAATAACTTTGCAATACATTCCTACATGTGAAATGATAGCTGATCCTTTTACGAAGGCCATCTCTAGAGACTTGTTTGAAAAACATGTTAAGGCTCTAGGTTTACGCAGAGTATGATGATATTTCAGTATTGTAAAATGACTTAATTGTTATAATATTCTCTTCTATATAAAACTATTGAATTTATGTTCAAATTTAGTATGCATATGATATTTTATAAAAAAATAAAGTGAGTCGAACAAGTCGCAAGATTGGCTCTCTCACACGAGCAATCACCTCTTACGTCGAGGAACGTGAAGAACTGAGTTTCACCACCATATTATGACTTATTTTATGAGCCAGCCAAATGTTTATCTAAGAAGATGAGTTTAAGGATTACTGAAAAAGAGAAACTAATGTTAAAC